GAGAGTGAAGAAGAGAAAGGAGAGAGAGAGAGAGAGAGATACTAACTAGATGTGCAAGTAAGATCGGTGGAATCAAGAGTGGGATTCCAGTATGTGAAGGTCTGTTCGAATGCGAAGATTCAATTGGCAGCATAGGAATTCTTCTTTTAAAGTCAGACAACTCGAAAGCATGTTTGATGCTCTATACATTTTATTTGTATATTATGATTTATAAGTGATAGAATAAGGATTGAATATAAATGCTCAAAAAACATCATATAAATAAGTTTATTTATTAAAAATTATTTACTATAGCATAATTTTCGTTATATCGATTGTTTTATTTTATTAAATTAATTAAATAAACTAAATCGTAAAAGTTAATATTTTTATTCAATTGCCCTCATTTACTCCAGGTTAATGTCCATAAATCCATAATTTCAATAACTTCTTGCATTATTAGTATTACTTAATATTTTTATATTGTTGATAAATAAATTACAAATAATGCTTAATAGATTTATGTAAGAAATTTAAAGTTTGGAAATTAATTAATATGTATTACATATTATTTATTTATTTATAAATTACATTATGCTAAAAAGTATATATTTTTGTCAATAAGACAGATTAAGATATGAAAATAAATAATACGTACAGTCTAATTTATTCTTTCGAATCTCGAATTATATAAAATGGATAATGTAATGTGATTTTTATCAACAAACTAATTTAAATAAAATATTTTATTAAAAATATATGGTATTCAATATAATATCAATTATATGAAGACTAATTTAATTGATAGATTCACACGATTGATTATAATTACATACTAAATGAGAAAAGAATAAACTGATGCAAAACTATAAACATTAAATTTGCCGAGAAAGTTTAAGATTGTCGTTTGATTTTTCATAATTTAAACATTTGATTTTATTGACTTACAAGCGCAAAATATAATACTATAATTGTTAGGTAAAACAATTACCAATTAAGAAAAACACACTAGTCATTGTCTATACCATTGTCTATTGAAGAAGACAATACTAACATATTGTGTTAATTTAAAATGAAAATTATATACACAGATTTTTAGCAAGATTAAAATAAGTTTAGATTTTTAACAATAATGTATAGTGAAAATAATCATTGTAAAATTATGACATGAATGGAAGTATAATAACATAATATTTATTTCCGTATAATTTAATTATGTATTAACTATTTATTTTGTAGATGTATTTCAAATCTGTCATTTACGTTTGATAGATGATATAAAATCATTTATAACTTGAAAAACTCTTTTATATATATCTACAATTTTATAACTAACAAATAAATTATTATTAAATGCCGTGAGTAAAATAGTTGACAATGAAAGCACATGCTAATTTTTCTCGAGTAATTAATACTTACAAATCATAATTTATATTTAAAAAGAATAATATTTTAAAAACTAAATCCATTCTATTTTTAGTATATAGTTATATATTATATGCACGTAATATTTTCCTCATCAATCAAGATATATTAAAAAAATACTTGAAAGCTTAAATGGAAATAAGTGAAACACTTACGATATTATTATAGATTGCAAATAGTAGAGGTATGCATGCGAAGCAATGTGTATGCAAGTATGGCCATCTATTATTAAATAATATTAAAGAAATAAATTAGACTAACAATATGACTTGCTAATATAATACATTTTATTGAGTCCCTGTGGCGCAGAGGATAGCGCGTTGGACTTCTAATCCAAAGGTCGTGGGTTCGATCCCCACCAGGGATGTATGCAATTTTAGGTGTGTATTGTGTGACTCACCTATTTTTTGTACATACAATTATTTCATATACCGAATGGATTTCATTTTTACTTTTATTTTGGTATCTAATAAACACCCGATGATAATAATTCCAAAAATAAAAACAAATCTATTCATGCATGGATAATGTCGCTCATATATGAATTTAAACTAAACTCGATGAAGCTACGCGAGGATCAGAATAATCTGATAATAAATTAAAAAACAAATGTTGATGTTCCTTCCCGCAGAATTGTTTAATATGACATTATCGACATTGATATATTTAACAGTAAAAACAAGTCAAATAATTAATTTTTTAATTTATTTGAATATTGTTAAATAAAAAAGAAAATTCGATTATAATTATTATAAAGTAGTTCTTAAATACATTTCATTTAACTATATTAACGCTTATAGATCAAAATGAATTTATACAATTTTTTCAATTTATTATTTATTCACTTAACTTTATTATTCGACACTTTATTATTGAAACTATTGATCTTTATGAAATATTGTTAGTTACTTATGCAATGTTTTGAAACGATACAGCTAATTAAACTAAACTTTTTAAAGAACACTTATAAAATTAAGTTTTGTTTTTTACAATATCAATTAACTCCTTTAATAAATATATTTATTGAATATCTAAGCATATATTTCCGTAATACATACTAATTAGTTCATATTATAGTATTAAATAATCGATTAAAAAATTTTTATCATGTTTTACTTTTTCTGAATGAAATTATTTAACCATTAATTCCATACTAACACTTATATTATAATAAATTGGAAATATGAATAATGTATCGATTGCAATATTTTGTACGGGCATTTGTTACTTAAATAATTTTACAATAAAATAATATTACTTTTAGAAATAATAAAAAATTTTAAAGTAATTTACGTTAATTAAATAGATAAATTAATTTTTGGCTTTATAGATTTTATGTTTTTAAAATTTAGACTTTGTTTAGAATTCCAGCCACCAGAAATTTGTTGCAGACCAAGGTGGATGGATCAGACTGTGCCATCGGTTTAACGGTGATGGGGGGGGGGGGATTTGTGAGAGGTTAATGCATTAATTCAGTATAAAACACAATTGGTTTTAATCACATTTATTTAAGGTTATGTTACATTGGTTGTTGTTGTTACCGATCATTATGAGAATTGTTGAACTCGTCGTGATTTAACAGTTGTCCTTAAACTGTAGAACGTCGTCCGGTAGTGCGAGGCAAAAATTGTGCTGGTTGTACTGGGCACGCGTTATTGTTCTTTATGGGGGAAAGAATCGCAAGAGTCGCGAATCCATGGGCGCTGTTTTCGGTGATAACTCGCGTGGAGGGAATCGCTAGAATCGCGAATCCATGGGCGCTCTTTTATCGGCGATTATTGGGGAGAGGATCGCAAGAAATTAATTAGTGGGGAATATCAAAGAGTATCGGCGCCCTCTTCAGAGGTCTTATAAGAATTAAGTTGCAGAGGCCTGACCGATAATATCTGCCATATGTCGTAATAACAATAAATGATGATAAGTAGTTTGCTGGTGATGCTAGTCTGTTGTCGCCCCCAATGCGGTCTAACTATAGTCACGTTACGGAGGACGCACCGATAGCTGGCCAGCAATAGATAATAAATAATGTAAATAAATGTGTATACCTTGCACGGATTCTCGTAGACAGACGTGTAGAACTTTAACTGTTATGACTTAAACTATTTCACTTTGACTTACTCAACAAGACTAATTTGCTTCATCGTATGTTGCTCCTTATATATGATTTCGTACATTTAGAGTTTGTAATTCTTGAAAATTATGTCAAATTCTCGGAAAACAAGCTTTAGTAGTTTCGAGAATCTTCCTTTGTTTCTATGCAGATATAGCACGAGGCTTAAATTTCATCGAGAATTTTCGTATCGAATAATTCAAATATGACTCATTTTAAACATAAATATAATGTAATGGAATCATATTATAATGAACAATAAATTTTTTATGTTGGGTAGTTCAATCCTGAACATTCCGCCCACCATCAGCACTGTAATTGATGATTCCCGTCATTCTGTTGGATAGGTAGGACTGCCAGTTTGTGAATTGCTCTGACCATCGTGGTGGAAGCAGTCTTTAGTGTGACGATTCTGGTTAGGCCGTCTCCGCCTGTACGGATTTAAATGACTGGTGAGTGGTCAATTGCAGAGAAATAATCGTTCATTTGTGATGAGCATCAATGAGCCAACATAGATATCATTCAGTGGGTAGTCCCGTTTTGAACTTAACAGTTGTTGTTGCAAGTAGTGATTCGACCACTGTAACAAGAGTTGTTGTACACTTGCTTATAAGCTTCCAGCGGGTTATTCCTGAAATCAACAAATCCTTTAGAGATGGTTCTGGGATAGTAGTAAGTGGGCTCCCTATTACGATTGTCCGGTAAGTGCTGAATGGTCTTTGAAGTCATCGCGCATTGATTCTAATGGCTTTGTGCAGAGGATCGCGTCAATTAGGGCAAGCAGCGTGGTGATTTCTTTAAATGTCCTTTCTCCAATGGAGCGCCTTATGTGAAACTTGGTGGTGTTTGAACTGACTCCCATAGCTCCCAACGCAGCTTGTCGAGCGCGGCTTGTACGCGGTTTTAGCTTCTGAGTTCTTCTATTTTCCAATTATAAGGATTATTATTGTCGATGAACTTATAGATGATCCTTGTTACTCTTTGGTGATTGGAATGTGGCGGTAGTGAGCATTTCGTTTAGAGGTGGAAGATTGTAAGGTTCTTGATCCTCGTGACGTGGTGCCCTTGATGTTAGGTTACCCTGAGAACAGGGAGAGCGGGGAGGTTGTAAAGCTCTTGCCACTTCTTCGAGTAGTGTCACGTGGGGAAGCCGTGACTGCGTCATGCTCTTAGACACAAGCGGCTTGTATTTACAGGTTAGGCTCACCACGGTATGGAATTGAAGGGGCGACGCAGGCTTCTCGCGTCGCGCAGACTAACAACTCCATAGGCCCGTACTGGCTGTTGGAGATACCGTGTGACCTGGAGGAGGGAGAGTTGTAGACGATGCTGATGTGCTTTGTTACTTGCGAGGTTACTAAATAGGCTTTCTTCGGGCTCAGTTGAGGGGCCTTCCCCTTTTCTTGGTGCCTTCAAATGAATGAGTGGGTGACTGAATGACTGAGTGAATTTAGCAGCTGGCAATAACTGTATAACGTCGTCCGGGTGTGCAAGGTGAGAGTGGTCTTTTCGTGTTGTACGCGCTGCAATGTACTAGCGAAACATAGCAGTAATTATGGGAGCTAAGCTCTATCTGTCGGCGCTGTAGTGTACTAGCGACACGTAACAGTAATTATAGTATGGTTGTAGCTACCAGGCAGTATCGGCGCCTTATTAAATGCCTTGTGAAGCTCGTCGGCTCGTTTTCGTGCGTCTTGGATTTCTTCGATGGAGATGTTTCAAATGTTTTCTGTGATGGTATTCCATTACGTTTTATATATTTGTTTTTGAATACTTCAAATATTACGCATTAATAATGAATATAAATGTAATGGAATCATATTAAATAAAGCAATAAATTTTCATTGCTGGGTATTTCAATCCTGAGCAGACTTGTATATATATTATTTTGTATAGTACTTTTATTTAATTCTGTTAATAAATATATAATAGTAATATTAATAACAATATTAACAAAAACAATAATAATAATCGACAGAACATTATCGATGCGCATAAATTGATATGAGGCGATCATATTTAAATCTAATTAACTAGATTAAATTATATCTTTAAAATATTTTCATTTCCTTTTACGAATTTTTTTCTAGCATTATTTTTTATAGATAATTAATAGATTTTTCGAGAAAGATCAGTTTATTTGCGTTCTGAAAGAATTATGAAATACATAGGACTTAATTTTTAAAGTCTAAAAAAATGAGTTTAAATTTATTGAATATTTTGGCAGATGGATTACTGGGTGGATTAAAGATGGCAATTACTGGGTGAATTAAAGCATTTTTTGAAGAATTTGCGTAAATCTTCATACAGTTTGAACCTTGAACTGCAGTTTTTCCCGTATATATGGTAGTTAAAACTAACACCCTCGCGTGACAACATCTCAACAAGATCATTGAAGTACTCTTGATATTTTTCTTGTTCGGGACTTTTACGTAAGAGCGTAAAACTAGTGCCTCGTAGATGACGTGCCAAAGGTAAGAGATATTGGACCTTGTAATTTTTCCGTCGTAATACACCAATAATTCCTTCCGTTGGCTGTAGATCAGATCGAAAATCAATTAACGATTTTCTCGTATTATTTAAGTATTTAATTTGATAATGTCTATTACATCTACAGTAATGATTTTTATTTTCATCTTACATATGTCCTATAAATATTTTATACTCATTGATTTTTCTATTACTTTTGAATGCTTTTGAATACTTTGAATACTTTTTGTTGCCGAAAGAGGAAAAAAGACCATAAAGTTTTTTATTCGAATATTACTATTGTATATATCATATTTATGTTAGGTAAAATCATGATTTTTTATAGTTTATTTATTATTTAACATAACGATAATTTATATTAGAATAACTATTATTATGTATATATCAAAAAATTTTTATCATACTGTAAATTTTTTGTTATACAATTTTATTACAACAATGTAAAAATATTTTTTAGCTTGTTCAAGTTAATAATTTTGTTTTAATATTATATTTGTTGTTACATTTAAACGTAGGATATTGTAGCAATTGAATTCCTTTTTTTTCATTTTTTTTTCATTTTACAACCATACATTAATCTTGTGGGTATATAAAATTATACGTATATTTTAACACTATTAAACAAGACAAAATATTATTTTTACATTATATTAATAACTGTCATAAAAATTAAAGTATTTTACTGATAAATAAAAAATTAAGAAATTATAAGAAAAAGAAGCGGACCTTCATGGTAAATGGATGTATATAATTTTGCCAATGAGTAAAAGGTCTTATGGCAGCGCAACACTGAAATAAGTTATGGTCTTCCTTATTAAGGAACTTCTTCATCTTGGGACCAGCTATAAGGTTAAGGACCATGTGACCGCCAAAGACACCGTTTCCTGCATATAGATCGAGGCGATGAAAGTATTTGGTAACGTGCTTTACAACGGTCATAGTCTTTTAATTGCATTTTTTCGCGTTGATACAATTCAATCTTGACATAGTCCAATGTATGCAATTCGCTTCCTCTCACGTCTGTCTGCATAAAGTAAAATGTAAATGTATTGTTTTAAAAAATTATATTTTTATTTACATTTTCAAAGCTAATTATTTAAATATTTTAGATGTGTTATTGGTGAACTTTAATGACAAAAAATATTTCACTAGTTTAACAGAAATCTTTCATTTCTCTAATTTATCATGAAATAATTTGTAAATATGATGATTGCGCTGTTATATATTACAAAAATGATTAGAAAATTGATTACAATTTTTATTGATTTTAAAAAATTGTTAAACTTTACGAAAATTTCAATCATTATCCACATATTTATATATTCTTACATCAATATGAATTACGTCGTATATTTTTTAAGATTTTGGAATTATATTAAATAATATGTTTAATTAAATATGAGTAAAAAATGTTTTCAATAGAGTGATCATATTTAATAATATGGAAGTATTAATTATTCCATGACAGAGCAATAAATATTTAATTTAACAATATTTTAAAGTAAAGTTAAGTAGTTGAAGTAGGTGGCATGATTATGCGCATATTTCAGATGTAAGTTTCTATTTAAATTTTATAAAGAAGAGATACATAAGATGTATGAAATTTAGCTTACATAAAGTACTGCATAGTTGCCCAGGCTGGCTAGGTGTGTGGCTAAAGAGAGTTCGTACTCATCGGTAACCAATTGGTTATTCTGATGATTGGCAATTCTTAATAATAATCGTAATCTAGAATTACAATTTTTAGTGTTATGTGTCCAAGTTGACGGTGCGTGAATGCGTGCCGAGGCCCAGACGCCATCTTCTAATTCTACCATGAATTTGTGCATGTATGGATGCTGGATTGTCTCGTGGTGAGTACGGAATCTCTCGAAATCGTCTAATTGTCGAATCACGGTATTCGTGTAAGTAGATACAATAGATAGAGGTTTAACTCACATTGAGAATTGTGGTACTATAAAAATTATTACTAAATATTAAGACAAATTGATGTACTATGTCTTTGAAAGCTAAATTTTCCATTGATTTATGTTATGTAAGAAAATTTGGTGTAATTATCAGATAAAAGTAATTTCAGTGTAATCGGGAGTAATAATATCTAAACGATATTAAAAATTATTGCTTGTAGTCATGTTTTAATTGACTCATCAATTGAGAATATAGTAAAAGCCTTTCGAGTAAAAGCTTTATAAGTGAGTATATTACATATTTGCCTATACAAAGAAAATTTATATATTAAAAATAAGTAAATTTATCGAAATATAATAATTTCCGTATAATAAAAATTATTTTTCACGCATTTCACATTCATAAAAAATCTAACTTTAAATAATATTCTTGCAATGCATGCATTACTTACTTGCACTTAAGAATGTAATATTGGCAATTACGGGACATCAGAATATTTGAAAAAGTGCATTGAGTTCGATGTCCCCGTGTGTTCGTCTCAAAAGCATGTTCTGTGATTAATGTTGGACTTCTTTTAAAGTTTTCCGGGCATGTCATACACTGTGGCAACTCATGATTTTGATACTCTAATGGTGGGTAGGTAACTTTAAGTTGATATAAAAATCTGGAAAACGAACATTTTATATTCTATTATTTTTTATGTCCATATGTATATATATATGTGTATCAATTTATATTCCATACACCTAATGTAATAAGTCTTTACGTAAATATGAGAAATATAAAAAAATTTTTTTTATACAAATTTCATAAAAGTTAATTGACATATTATTTTATGATATTAACTAAAATTCGAATATTAAAATATAATATTTAGAGAAAACAGTAAAATCATTTTTATAAATCATATAATAGTCATTAAAAATTAAATAGCATCCTATGTTAGGAATAGTTTGATTACATTAATAGAATATTATCTATACATTTAAATTTTTATAAATTTCCTAACAGAGACATTAAAAATAATCTACTATGCCTTATTCATTAAAATTATATTTCATAAAAATTATTAATATATATGTTTTTTAACTTATTGTATATACTTAACATTTTTTAGTATACAGTTAATACCTATGTATAATTAGAATTTAATAAGGCATTTATTTTGGTTATGTTTAAAATCTAAAAAAGTATGTAATTTAGAATTTTATTTTATTACAATATAAGAAAAATTTTAATTAACAATTAGATATAAAATATAGTTTTATATTTATCAAGTAATTTATGAATCATTAATTGTATAATTCAAAAAATGAACAGAAATAAAAATATACACTTAATATTTATAACTAATATTTATTAGTTTATATTTACATTATTACACATAATGTAAAATAGATTTTTGTCTGAATTGTCTGAATCTCGTATAAATATCAGTACTATTTGCTCTTTAGGCTATTTAAAATAATTTTTATAATACAAAATTTTATTTTTTTTAAATTAATTAAATCTTATAATAGAGTAATATAGAATATATAACTTACATAAATAATAATCAAAATTTGTGAACAATATATTGGTCAAAAAATGGTATCATTTATTTTTATATGAAAATTTCGCCATTATAAAATGTTTAAATGAAACGAAATGATTTAAATAAATGATTGAGTTTGAAAATGGAAAATGTGGATATTAATTCTATTGATTTAAATTTTTTCTTCCATCAAAAAAGAATGCATTATAAAAAATATAGAAATATTAATAATTATTATAAATAAAAAATAATTTTAATTTAATTAATAATTTATTCTAATACGTTTATTTTTTATTAAAGTTTTTGAAAAATTCAAATACATTTAAATAAGTAAAGAGGATGCATAGTGAATAATAATCTGAATATGGATGTTACATAATAGAATTTTTTTCTAAAAACATTTAAAATTTAAACTTCAAATTTTTTAAATCGCGGTTAGTACCATAAATAGAAATATGTGAGATAAACATATTTTATTTACAAATAATATTTTAAATGCGAAATACAACGTTGGATCATGTTAAGTTATGAGTGATATTAAATCATTCGCTAATAAAACAATACCTTTCTGATCCAGAGTGGAGGGGAGCGGCAATGAAGTACACGAGTACCTCGTCGTAACTGATTATCCGCAAGCCAACTATGTGTATGACATAAAGATCGTTTTTAAGTAGGGGATTACATCGTGTACTCGCATATGGTATCCACTGAAAGCTTCCATTGAAGCTGCGAATATCACTGATGATAGTTATCGCTCTTGACAATGCCATATTCAAAAAACTGCGATTCAGAATACTATTTTTATCAATAATTTTCACGTATTCTGCAAAATTATATAAAATATGTTTGTAAGTATTAAAATATTAAGCTATAGAGACTAGTGGGATATAATATAGAAAATCTAAGATTCAAGATTCAAAATCTAAGAAATATTTTAACATACAATACAACTTTATGATTTTATTATAAAATGAAAGTATAGTATAGTTTCATTTTATAATAACTGTGCTAGTAATCTTAATCTTTGTTAGTATAAAATAATTTATTATACAGTTTATTCTCCGTTTTACAAAGTATATTACAAAATAGAAAATGAATTACTTTTGTAATAAAAGAGTTTAAATATTTTCAGATATTTATGTTATTTTTAAATTATTATTGTGTAATGTAAGAATAGATTTATTATTTATCAATAATATAAAGGAAAAGCTACTTTGTACATTACAAAATTAAACTAAAGATATTACAATATATAAAAGAAATGTATGTGATTTTGTAGAATTTTGAAAATAATAATAGTAAGATATGTATTTATTATTCAATAATTTTTGTAAATACATATATTGATACGTATAAATTGATACGTAATAATTTAGATTGATAGTTAATGTAGTACTTATCTAATGTTTTAGAACATATAAAGAAAAATATAAATTATAGAAATATACGTTATTATAAAATTTAGTTGTGTTATAGTATCATTTCTTAATATATTCTATTCTTTTAATTTAATGTAAAAATATAATTGCTTTTTTTTTAAAGATATGCTATGTTTGAATATTTGTATATGATTCATTGAAGTTTTTGCGAAAGAAGTTGTCTTCATTTTCTATAGTGTAGTTCTATATTTTTGAAAACAAGAATTATATTTCAATTTTCATTAATTTTTATTTTGTTAACTTAATTTTCGCTTAACATTATTTTGATTTTTCGGCAATCCTACGAATTCTTTTTGTCTTGTACATCTGTTATTCAATCTTATGCATACGTCGAATTCTGGAATTCGTTGAATCTTATAGTGACCTATCGGAGAATTCCCCCAGTTCCGTTCAAGTTTCTCTAGGGAAAAATATATCAGCATCAGATATTTTCACGAATTACAATTTTTTTGTATTTTTTAATATTTTATTGTGAATATACAATATAGTGCCATGTAATGGTCTGCTCGTTACTGATGAATCTACTTGTAAGGGAATAGTCATATATTTCATTTAAAATATTATTGAAATTTGCAACTTAAATAACTATAAAAATTACTATATTTTACATACATTATAAATAGATTTTTACAATAAATAATATGGATATGATATTTTGATTACCAATGTAATAAAATTGCAAAATATGAATATAAATTTTCAAAGCAAGGTCTTACTTATACTATAACTTTACATAAAATTAACCTACAATACTTCTAATTACTAGTTATTAACTAGTTCTAGTTAATAATAAATTTATAGATACTTATGTATTAAAACAACTATATATATAGTTTTATATGTTATACATATTTTGTTATTATTATTTCATAATTATAATATCTTAATATTAATTTTAATATATTTTTTTACGTATTTAAAAATAATACTTTCTTAACAATATTGTAAATTGTTATTTATTTAAAATATAAACATTTATTGTTTTAGAAAATTATATTTGATTATAATATTTTTTTGCTTAAATTAAACGAAAATTCGTTATAAATTATATAAACAAATAATACTCATAAATAGAGGTAGTGAGGGAGCGAGGGCAATTATAATATTTATGTTAAGTTAGTTTATAGATATTATTTATGTCATAGTAAATGAGAAATTTAAAATAAATTAACAAGAAATTTTAATGTTAATATAGTAAAAATTTTAGCATAACAATTTTATGTTGTAAAAATGTATAATATTTAATAGGATAAAATAATGAATTTATATAATAAATTCCAAGCGTCTACTGCATAAAATTGCATTAAGACTCTTATTTTAATATTAGTAAAAAAAATTGTTTCGAAGACCTGCATAGTACTGTCTTCTAAATTAACTTCGAAATTAAATACCTGAGTAGAAGAACTCTAAAGATACATTGATTATCACTCGAGTGTTTGTCATGTCGACAATTGTATAGAGTGGAAATATGTTGATAGGGTATTGGGATCTTTAGCCGGGAAAGGTAGAGCAGAAAATATGTTCTGGACATGCGAGGATCGATGCCTGGATAGGTGCTGCCGTCTTTTACATTCATTACCGCATACTCGCCGATCTCGTCTCGGTAAATGATTTCTTCATTGCTGCCGTTTATCCAGGTGAGATTCCTTAAAGAAGGTCTGACAATCATTTAGGACAATCCTTTTGACAAGTATTTTTAATGTGATAACTCCATGGACTATTAAAATTCACGTATATTTTTGTTTAATTCTATTTTTAACATTTTTATATTAATAGAAAGAGATGAAATACGATAGATTACTGTGATTGAATGAGGTATAAATTGATACGATATGTAAAGAAGATTCATTTTTAGTATTATGTTTGAGATAGGTTTCGAAATACAAAATATCTTAAAATATTTATCTTTAACAAAGTTTTTATTTCTCTTCTGAAGAAATTTTTTTTTAGAGTGTAAATTTCACTTCAACAATTTTTATCTTTAAACCACTCAGCTATTGCGTTATTAAATTAAATAAATCATTCAGCTATTACATTTCATTGTACATTTCATTGTATATTACATTATATATTTGAATACTAAATTTTTTTAACACTAAATAAAATCATTGGAACTAACGATAATCAGAAATTACGTATTAAAGTTTTTGTGATATCTAAAAATTTCAGAATATCTTTTATTAGAAAATTATAATTTATTCATTTATGCTTATTGATCGGTTTAAAATATTAATGATTTATTTAGTTCCATATTTTAGTATTTATATTTATAATTAAATATTAATTAAATATACAATTAAATATTATACTTTATAATTAAATTGACCAAATATTTCTCCTTTTGAAAATCATATAAGTTTTATTTATATAAAACTTTGTATATATTATATATATAAATTATGTATATATATATATTCTTAATTACTATATATAACATAAAGAACTTTTTCAAACTTTAAAGAAATACAAGTGATATAATGTTGGACAAAAGTTTTTTTTATAATTGAGAATTATATTTTTAGACCAATATCAAACTTTTAAAGAAACGATTTTGCCACTAAAAATTGAATAATGAATATATGTTAATCTATGCTAATGGAACAAAAACTAGTTTCAAAACAAAAAAGAATATGTAACAAATTTCAAGATATTTAACGGTAAATTGTAAATATTTTAACGAGTAATTCTTAAGAATTCATTCATTTGAGGGTGGTCAATATAAAATTATAAAACCATTAAATAAAACATTGAAAAGCTATTTTTGAATGGTAGAAGCCTAAATTAAGATAGGATTCTGAATAAACGAGATATATTTGATATTTTATAGTTTACGTAGCGCATAACATCTATCTTTACTTCAAAAGTTTCTTTTATATATTTTTTAGCGTGAAATTAATGATGCTATTAATATAAAACCATTTTTTATGAATTTTTCAGTCAACTTTTTTTTAATGTCTTTCTACCATTGTAAATGCTAGATAGTAAAAAATAGATATTATTTTCATGCAAAAGCTATTTTAAGTAACAATTTCTTTCATAGGTGCAAGCCGATAAATTATTGTCTGTGATTGTGGTTTAGAAGCAGGAAGAATTTAATGTGTGCTTATTGGACCAAAGACAGAATATCGTATTTCATTGAATTGAATAATTATAATGCCGTATTTATTGACACACTGATTGGTTATAATTATCGAACAATTCCGGCATGGTTTGAATAAGATGTATGTACTTGTTGGTCGCCTCTCGAAAGCAGTCATAATCAACTACATTTTCGAGATTAACGACGGAATTGTGTGAGCAGTTAAGAAGTATTCTCCACATTTTTTTTCTCTTGATCCTTAAAATAGATAAAGGACTACAAATTATTAAGAAGGATTTTTTTAATCCACAATTATTGAAAAAAGTTTTTTCTTTCTTAAAAAAGACTTTCATTTTTGTCTGATAATTAAATACGTTACGAATTCACGGTAAAATTTCTTGTAAAAATATATTATTTATTCAGAATTACCAATAAATATCAATTTCAATATTATAATAACTTGAACATGTACTTTTCAATTAAACGTGGTTTACAATATCGAAATATTATTTTCGATTTTTCTTCTATCGACATATTATATATTAAGTTGTTTAACAATTTTTCAAAGAAAGATTGAACTGAAAAGTAAGAAAAACTGAATTTTAATTCAGTCTAAAATAATCTTGTTGTTTTAATTAATTAAATATTTATTATAATAATCGACTATTATTTATAATATAATAATATTATAAAGATGCTTGAAACCGACAAACAAAACAATATAAATAGCTCGAGAAATTGATAATTATTTTCTCTAAAGTACGATCCGCACTTCTCATTTCCTATTATATTTATCATATATTCACTTATATACAAAAGCATAAATAATAGTAGCGTACTTGGAAACATTATACTTTGAAGACCCAACAGAATTCATGTTACTCAAAACGACGAAATCATATTCGGGATGGATTGTTGTGGATTTGATTATTGGCTTGGCCGTTGGTTGCCACTTTGTCAATTTGATTAATGCTGCAATTAAGATGATTAAAAGAACCTACATTTCACATTAAACGATTCATGATAGACACAGGAGCTTTAGAACTTATTGTAATAAAGCGGCTAATCTAAAAACACAATAAAGAACGTGACTATATGCAAATCTTACAAATTGACATTGATATGTTTGAGTATCCTGGTATTTTGATGATTGATTAGTTACTAATCAGAGTTGATGAATTATTAGTTTCATAAGAATATTCTAGTCAAAATGTAATATAATATTTCTTGTAACAATTAACTAAAAATATTATATCATAATGCTTTTTATTTTCACAAAAATTTGATAAAATATTAAATAACTTTTGAACTATTTTTATTTTGAAATAATTTTTTAGATTTTTGCTTTACTATCATGCAGTAATTAAACATTATATTGAGCTTCATATTGATGAACTTTGTTTTCATTTAATATTGTAACAAATACCATTTAATTTTCATATGGAATTCAATTTTATACAATAAATTAAATAAATTAAATGATACAATTAAATATAAATAATATTATTTAATATAAAATCAAATATTCTTTTTCATAATATTTTCATAAAAAATATTAGAAATATATTCAAATAGATAATTTTGCCTGATCTCGTATCGACAGAGATTCATTTATTATAATGTAAAGGTGACGCTGTATGTTATACTTACATAAATATTGCTAAATGAGTATAGATTAATCATATTTTTTTTAAGTATTGAAATATGATAAATCACTTATTATTTCACAATATTTTAGAATATCCTTTATTCAATTATTATTTTATCAAGCATATGTAAAAAATTTTAATTATATTACGTTATAAAATCAAATATTGTTTATTATTGTAATATTTATAAATAAATATATATTTTTTTTATTGATAATTACTTAAATTTAATAAATTGTATTTATAACTAAAAATTGCATTAAATACGAATTAATAATATTCATATTCATAAATAATATGTTGATTGTTTAGAGAAAATTAGATTAACTAAAAAGAATAATTAATAATAATTAACGTTTGGTTAAAAATTTAAGCAAATTTAAAAATAATAATGATTTATTTTATCATTGTTCGATTATTAAATAATACTATGTAATTAGACAAATTTTTAAAGCTGACTCTTATTATAAGTAACTGTTATATAATTAACCTTTGATAATAATTAATTATGCTTAAAGACTTACACCATATAACAGCCCAACAAAAATTTTCGATGGAACTCGAGGTTGTGGCAATATTTGTACTACTGGTATTTCTAGTTGCATTTTATTTATTTATTTCGAATTTGATATTACTTCTATTAATAATTAGTTTATCTATAAATGCGTTATACTATTTTTCAAATCGTTTCTTGGTTGTACTTACGAAATATACATACTTTATCATACTTACTTTATGCCACACGTAACCAATTTATGTATTTATTGTGATATAAAAAAATGCTCATTTGAGTTGTATGCTATTTTTATAAAAAATAATCAATATGAAAAAATAAAATTTATAACCTTATACTTTCAATATTTACAAATCACATATTCTTATGCAATTATTTTGATCAAACTGTAATAAATTGTCATGATGTTCTTTGTGTAAATTCTCACTGTAAAGCAATATTTTTAAATATTTAAACAAATCATCATTATAATAATTTAATCAAATTAAAATAATCCTATAAATTCAAATTATAAGAACATTATTATTTGGATAAAAATAATTTAATTAAAAAATGATTCTAAATTCTTTACGTCTTCAGACATCTGCAGAGTGCAATTTAAATTATCATTTCACTAAAAAATGAGATATGTTTTTAATTATAATATAATAATTATTGTTATAATTATATTCAATATGTTACATAAGTTACATTTACTCAATTAATGATTAAAAAAACCATCTATCAATCTTTCATCATATGATTTATTACCTGATTCTAATGATCTTGATGATTAAAAATCATAAAAGAATTGGTGGTTTTTATCTTGAATTGTACTTATTATTCCATTTAATGATTGATTCAGTATTTGATATTAAAACATGGATATCATTGAAAATATTACAATATAAATGATTTATATCTTATCAATTGTTTTTTGAATGAACAAATGTTATTGAACATCATTAGAAATCATTTTATATAGTACTCATTATATATTTAATAATTATTTTTAAGATTATTATTATAATACACAAATAATTTTAGAGAAATAACTTCAGCATTGAAATAAACTGAATATACATTAAGTGATGAATAATTAAATCCTAATAAGTTCATATTATATAGTTATATATTATATAACTATATAATATATCATATATTATATATCATAATAGTTCCATATCTTATTATTATCAGATAAAGTAAATGATGAATAATTATTTTCTAATGTACAAATTAAAATTTTTTGTTTTTATCATTGTAATATGTTTGTTCACCTTAATATTTAAGAGTTTTTAACAAGATATCAATAAGAAAAAGGAGTAAACCTTTAAATATATTTTTAATCATCTATTTTTAATACTAAATTACTTTATTATAATCATTTATTCATTAATTTCTTAAAATCAATTTATCATTTATATATAATAAAAACTACTGTTGTT